AAAGAGAAAAATTAGTTGGCTTTGATTATCAAATCTAGGGGTACAAATGTCAAACAGGATACAACTCTTACAAAAGAATTCTATTTATATGACTAGCTATAATATATCCAGAAATAATGTCCATATCAATGATCTTCTTTCAAGTTGACTTACTTTCTAATAATACAGAATATGGTGAAGCTTTTATCAAAGTTAGGTCAGAAGTCTTTCCTTATGCAACTTTTTCTGCTTTAACCTGTTTTTAACCTATAATTATCAGAAAGACCAAAGATCCTATCTTTATGTAGCCTAATTGAATTTGATTAAGAGCTGGATATTTGAATACAATATTTGTGAAGACCCAGTAAAATCTACAAATAAAGATAAATTTTATGTATTTTTGTCACCTATAAGTATTGAACTAGGAATATGTATTTGGAGACCAGAAAACACTATTTACTGTATTATTAACCCACTGGTTTTAATTATATATAGTTTGTCTAAAAAGTTTTTGAACAGATTTTTTAATTTAATTTATATTTATAATTTGATAACTCTTAATAAAATAAAATAAAAATTTGAATATATAATAATAACAATATAAAAAACAAATTTATTTAATAGATTTTTATTAATATATTATTAAAATTTATTGAAAATCAATTGATAATTAAAAATAAATTTTTTAAAAAGTATTAATTTAATTAAATTATAATAAATAAACAAATATTGGTAGCTTAAGCCAACCGAATTCCCTTGAAGTATCTATTGGAAGATTTAGGAGTCGTGTCCCACTTGGTCAGCAACTGAGCCCCCAGATTTGGTAGTGTGTATCAATCAAGGACCAGATTTCAAAGCATTTACTAGGAAGTATATATATAGTATATGCGGAAACCACTGCAGCTATATGAACTGGAAACAACATAATTGATAAGATTATTTACAGAAGACTAACATGTGCTTGATGAGAATTGCCCTTCATAAATCTGGCTATAGACTCACCTACGTGGTGCAAGTTGGTATCTGGGTTAAAGTAAGGTGGACTAGTAATGGTTAAACTTACAGTTAGTAGTAATATTAGTATGTATAAGATTGCAATATATGGTTTGAACATAAAGTTTCAATAAAAACTATGGCATTAAGTGCCTATTCACCTAAAAAAAAAATAAATAAATAAATAAATAAATAAACAAATATAAAAAAAAAAATTCTCTTCTAATTATATCTGTTTTGCTTAAAATTTTCATATATGGTAATTTTGGTTAAAAAAATATTTTACACTCTTTATCACAAGTGAACTCCAACTCAGAAACCCAAAAACACTAAAGACAACTGATGTAGTGGGATAGAACCTCTGGTTAAAGTATACTTAAGTTTGAAAGTCTTGTTTATTCTTTGGTTGCATGGAGAAAGGTCCATGGCAATATATTTCTATTCTTTGATTTTTTTGCAACTCAAACTTCTTATTATTATAAAAACACTCCTTATCAATATTATCATAATCATTATATTCACAAATACTTTTCAAAAAATACACTCAAACAAAATTGTAAGTTCTAATATTTATTTTAATACAACTTTTACATACTTCTCTATTTTGGCATTATTTATTGCATCACCTAAAAAAATTCACAATCTTTTTTAGTCTCAAAAATTGAAATCAGTTTATCTTTTTCAATTAATTGATACCTGATAACCATTCAATCAAAATTTTTTATATCATTTAAACCATAATAACAAAACTGGTTTAAATCAATTTACCAATTCAATAATAACAACAATAACAATAACTGGCTCAAACTGATTTATTTATTCAATTATCACCACAACAATAACAACTATCACAATAAACAACTTCAAGTATATTCTACTATCCATATTAAGAAAAGAAGTATTAACAAGTTATAAAAAATCGGAGAGATGGGACAATAAGCTTGATCCAAAATTCTCTTGAGAATCAAACTTTTATTTTCATAGATTTTATAATTTATTTAACTTAATTTTAGTTTTAGTTAGCTTTATTTTCTTTTTTTCAAATTTTTAAAATATAAAAACTTTTTTTTTGAGTAGATAGATATAGCTCACTATTCAGCCTTTGTTTAATAATTAGCATAACTTAAAAATTTTTTTTTGTACTAATTAAATATTATATAAGTAGGCAAGCTAGTATTTATTTTATTATATACTTTTGTACCTAAGAGATATTGATTCTTCTAAAATGTATATTATTATATATATGAAATAATAAAGAATTGGTGTTTATCTATTTTAAAAAAAAAAAATAAATAAATAAACAAATAAATTATATACAATAGTTTTGATTTATTGATTTGTAAAATAAAATTAAAAACAAATAAAAAATAATCTTTAATTAATTTTAAACTAATTAATTAATTTTTAATTAAATAAATTAACCTAAAATTTAATAAAAAATATAAATTTTTATATAAAAAAAATTATTTCTCTAATTATAATTTATTTATTTATTTTTTCAGATAAAGAGTACTAGTACTGCATGTGTTTTATTGAGTTATTTATATTCAATTACATAAGTATAAGATCCATTTAAGTTAATCTACAACTCCCACCTATAGCCTTATTAAGGATCCGAACGATTCTATTTAGAATTGAATTTAAACGATTCGATTCGATTCAATTCAATTTGATTTGATTTGATTCTTTTATTTAAAAAATTAAATTTAAACAATAAAATTTCGATTTGATTTGATTTGATTCGATTTTTAAATTAAAAAAAATTAAATTTAAACGATTCGATTTCGATTCGATTCGATTCGATTCGATTCTAATTTTAAATAAAATTGTTAAAAACTCGATTCAAATCAGATTCAATCAATTTATTGTTACACTTGATTTTTGCTCAACATTTTATCTACTCTTGTGACAATCCACTAGTATTTAATCCTGAAATATCCTTTTCTTGTTCTAAAATTTCTATACTATTGATCTACTGTAATACCTTCACCTACTTTATCTACTTAGCTATTTCTTTCTATTTTGAAATATTCTTTAATTTTATTTACTATTATCACTTTGTTATTTTCGCCAGAATATTCATCTCTATCAATGTTAGTATATTTGACTATTTTGATAAAAATATCATCTCTTTTATAACTATTATTTTTACCAACATATACTACTAACATGTATATCAATCATATATTAAAAATATATATATAAATATCTCCAATTCCTCTTGGAATTGCAAGATTGAACTTTTCACTTTATTAATAAAATAACTTGACCTTTATAAAACAAATCACCATTGCCTCTTTTGCTTAACCTTATACATCTCAAAACTGTACTAATTTTAGTACACCCTTATGAACTTTAACATACCACATTGATCCATCCATACAAAGTATCTCCCTGCTATTAGTTCTCCATCTATATTTTTCTCCTGAGGTAGAATGATATATGACAAATTGGTGGTGACTGTGAGATGCATCTCATCCGTTAGACACAAATTCGACAATCAGGTCCCAAAAATAGAACACTCTTTGATTGCCACCCTTGAGAAATTGCCCTGAGAAAGTTCGATCTTTAAAAAGCGATGAAAGCAACGTTGTGTCTGCGACGATCGGAGAAACAAAAACCAATTCTGCTTCAACAATGATGCCTATAAAGAATTTGGCTGCTGGTATATGCCGAATAGATGAAGAAGCATCATTCCAACCTAAAAAAAGTTCAAATTCAATGATAGAAGCTTCGGAATGGCTTGCACAGAAGAAAAGTGAAGCCTAAAGAACGACGATCATGGGATCGGTGGTATATGCGCCTCCCCCTAAAAAAATTAAATATAAAAAAAAATGATAATGAATAAGAATGACGCTGCACTACATCATTCCCAAAGAAATCATATGTCCCCATTCGTTTCAACAGCCAAGAAGATACTTACCTTGCAGCGAGTCGTCGGCCCCGAGGATATGGCTAGTATGCCATATGATCGCGAGAAATTCAATACACCTTCAATGTATAAAGAGAAAACGATGGATTAGCATTAGCCATTTCCTTTAAAACAATAATTATAATGATAATTATAAAAAAATAAAAAATAAAAAGAAGTAAAGAAAAGAGAGGAAAGAGACCGCTTACCTCTTAACAAATCGTCGGTGCTGATGATCACAAAAAAAGTCACGATGCCGAAAAAAGCAAGGGACAAGTTCCTAAAAGGAAGAAAGAACTGTCCAGTAAAAAGAAGAATGGCAAAGAAATCAAAGGCAAAGAATCAAACTTACCGACGAGACTCCGGTAGCCAAGTCAGGAACGTGGATATCGCCGAGGATCAAGGAGAACCCGCGGATGGCAAATCGGATGTTGAGAGCATGGGGCTAGGGAAAGACTGGTAAGAAAAAGTTAGAAGCCAATGGTAAAATGCCGCAAAATGAAGAAAACACCACAAATGCCATGACTTACTAGAATTGTACCAAAACAAGAGAATGCGAATGCTGAAATGCCATCATGATCGATATCACGATCATGATCGTGAAGAAAAAATGTTTATCATACGAAGTCTACAAAAGTTAAGCATGCCTAGAATATATATGCATGCATATATATTCTCAGAGCAGCAAGGAAAGTCTAACGCTCCGACAAGCCCCCACTGTAATAAATGACCGACGAGAGATATATCATTCCAATGATTGGAAATACTGGGACAAGACCACAAAGAAGGCACTAATATGGAAAGAAAAAAACAAGAGTAGTTAGAGAAAGAACTAACCACCCAAAAACAAAAAAAACAGATATAACAAATGGAACACTTACCTCACCTCGAGAAGATGACAGCTCCAATGTGAACACTTGGATGCTGTCATAATCATGATTGCGTCTCCTCCCACAAGTAAATGAATACCTATCCAATCAAAAAAAAAAATATATATATATTTCCGGTGAAAGCGGCAGTAATGTCAAGGTAGCCGGATGGGTGAGGAAAGGTTGGAAAAGTACAAAGACTATAGTGGTCAAGATTCTGCTATGGCTTGAATTTTTCGGAAGATGAAATGCCAATGGAAGTTGATGTAAACGATGAAGCAGCTGTGATGATGTTATCCAGTTGGAGTATGATCTCGAGAATGGATCAGTCTACAACAATTGCCCTGCTTTCTTATGGTTAAATACTGGAATATACCATCAACATCAATCACGAATGCTATCACCATCACCTTCACAACCATCATGCCAATGTCCATCCTACCACCAATATAGTTTCATCTGATGGATCTCAATATCCTATCGACAAAGTATGTCCTTCCAAAACTGTGATGACAATGACGACAACAGAAAGTATCACCAACTGATAAAGACAATGAGAAAGAAAGCTTATGGAAAAGCTCTGCCACCGAACCAATCAACCATCCCCACGAAGCCACATCAAAACCTACAAAGACATGATTAACATACTGTATATCATCAAAACCATTAGCATATACATACTGATCTTATCCCATTGTGATCAAATCATACTGCACCACCAAGATTCTATAAAGATAAAAGCAAAATTAATAATTACCTTACTCCTTTTTACCCTTACCTTTTTATAATTCCTTTGTTATTCCTTTGATTATCCCTCATACTCTATTAGCATTAATATAACACATATCATTTTACTTCTATTTTTATGATTTGAAAAAAAATATTATTATTTTGCTCTGATAATTTCATAAAGCCATTACATAGCCATAGATGATCTTGATTCTTAGAAATCCATAGCATATGCTGGTTAAAGACTGGTTAGTTATGAAGTGCAAAATTGTAACAGGATAATGCTTGAGGTTATAGCATTTTATGAAATTATTAAAGTAATTAATACTATTCTTTCAATTCATTTTGCACAAATAATATATTCATTTTATTCTCATAAATATTTTTAATTTTATTAAAACTTTATTATTTTATTATTATTATTACTTTTATATTTTTAATAAGAAACATTGAAATCTTGAGGTATTCTTTAGCTACTATATGAAATACAGCACCCAGGCTATACGACATGGATGTAAATACCATGATAGCCCAGTTCTCAACTTGCCCAAATACAAGTATCATTGAACCCTTGAATAAAGAAAGAAATCTGAAAACTAAGAAGCAAGCAAGAAATACAATATAATAAAGAGGGCCCACTAAGCTCTCCTCTTTCATTACAACTGGCTCACAAAGTATACTCAGCAACTACTGTATTTCTTGTAATAAATTCATAAAGCTAGATTGAACAGAACAAAACACCAAGGTCAAAAAGACAAACCTCTAATTGAATTCAAAGGTAGAAAAGAACCGGTCGAAAGGATCAGGGGCAGGAGTTTCTAAAAGTTGAAGGAGTTCCTTCAACCAAGCCATCCTATTCTTCAAATTGAAGTTTTCCAACTCCAACTCTTTATTGTGACAGTGAAGGTCCCGAGCATCTGAAAGTTTTTTCAAGTCCACCTGTAACTTGGTAATCTTTTCTTTCAACTTGATAATCTCTTCTTGCAAGGTCTTGACTTTCTCTCCACGACATGCCAAACGTTTCAAAATTTTAATCCTTTCTTAAAGCATTACTATGATCTCCCAGGAAGGATCTTTATGACCAAAGTGAGTAAGGCGAGCAACTTTGGACATACGGTTTTCTCTAGGCATGATTATAATAACAACAAATCTGAAGCGAAAAAAAGGGAAGAAAAATCAATATTCAAATCAGATTCAATCAATTTAATTTATATAGATCACAATTAATATATAATGATAATCAATTATAGATTATCATTTATTATATTGCAATAGATAAAATGAATTTTGGACGATAAAAAAATTTTTATTGCTAAAGCAAAGTTTGTTTTTTTTGTTAACTCATTT